TATAACTGGATGGGTGTGGTCAACTTGAGGTCACTCACATCAAGGGGTTCTTATATTTATTGAATAAATAAATATAACAAAAATAGGAGTTAAGTGAGTTTCACCACGTTTTACTCAATCCATGACATTTCCTCGGTCTAACGGTCATGTGCAGGCTAGGGAAGTAAATCTGAAAGCGTGTGCAACATTCTAATGTACAGAAGTTATAGTTAAACGTGTGGCAGAAAGTGGACTATGGGTGTTTTTCCAAATGCAGTGCAGTTGAATGTGTATAGTTTTAGAAGAGCTCTGTGTGTGGTTGTGTGTATATATACACATACAGTATATATAGTACATAATGTATCTTTTTGTATGCCTATACACACACTATACTATGTAATATGTATGTACACATATGGCATATATACATAGGATTAAATAGTGTATTTTGGATGTTCAGTAGGAGTAAATAAATGGAGAGGGAAATAGTATCTCTTTGAGGCGAGGAGAGACCAGGCAAGGCACCCCTTGACGTGAGTGAGGTCAAGTTGGCCACGCCCACCCAGTCACATGACCACCAAGCCATGCCCACCCAGTCACATGACCACCAAGCCACGCCCACAGAACCAGTAGTAAAAAAAATTGAATCCCACCACTGGTTCACATATACTTCAACTTAACAGATGAATTCTTTACATTTCTGTAAGTGTAAAGAACATTCCCTGGTCTTCGTGGAATGGAAATCAGGATAGTGCTCAGGTGTTATCTGATTCATTATTTTTGTACTTGTAACTTTTGAATAGCAAAGTATATTCGATGCCCACTTTGTGTAATTGATCTTCAAATCAATGAAGAATGGAGGCAACCTTCTCTTACCCTTCCATTAAGTAATTCTTAATATTTATCTTAAGAAAGGAGGGTTTAATATTTCACCTGCTGCTGCTCTATAGGATCTGTGGAGTGATGCACTCTGCCAAAAATGTTGTCAGAGGCCAGATAAAAGTGGATAGTTCTTGGAAGATTTTTTTTCTGTGCACCAATAAATACTACATCTCAATATACAGATCCCTTTATTCTTTTGGAGAGGATTTAATGCAATCCTACTTTTTTTTCGTAGGAACTAATCACTCTAGTATTTAGAACAATATCCAGAAAGACATGAATGGACAGCAGATAACAATTTGTTTTGTGTTAAAGATAACAGATAGATCTAACTGATATAAGAGTTGTAAAATGGGGTTCCTTTAGCCATGGGTGAGGGGGAGGAAGGGAAAAGTAACAAAACATGCCTATCCCATAGTAACAAAACCTATGTAACAAAATATATACTGTGATGAAATGACATAAATCTCATAATTTTAATACTTGCAGTTGATATCAAGATGCAAGTACAAAATGTTGGGGTTGCATTGTTATGTTTGATTTTTCAACATGATTTTTAAATGAAACTTGGTGGGTCTTCTCCATTTGCCAGCTGTGTTGATTTCAATTCCCAGAATTTTCATCAGTCGGTACGCTGGTTAACATATTCTGAAAGTTGAAGTCAACACATCTGAATGATGCTCCTAAGTTGGGTAGACACCCATTATGCAAATTCCTCAAGACCAATTACTTTTTTAACCATCCTAGCTTACATTATGTGGGAGTTTGTTATAGAGTTTTCTAGGGTTTTAGTATGACCATCTGTACAGAAACACTAACACCAAAGGAAGAAACATTCGGTATATGATCAGTAGATCAAAATTACTCTTCCCAAGCTCCTATCAGCCTTGTGGAAAGAAAAGGCATATAGCTACTGCCAAGCTGACCATTATTATTCTATATTACACAGAACTCATTTTGAGATTTGAACATTCCTTTATCTCATCCTCAATTGGTTTTAGATTTACAAGTTACAGAAGAGTCATAAAGAGATTGATTAATTTAATTATGAAGCTCCATAACCAGTAATGCAAAAGGATTTGACAGATTGCCTAATACACAAGTCTGTCCAAAAAATTACTTACTGCTCCACAAGTCTCATTATATAAATAAACATAAAACAAATCCTATGGCAGACTAAGAATCTGAAAAAAGTGGATCCATTAGAAACAGAAAATGAAAAGTCATTGTATATAGGTTTGAATTATTGAAAGAGTTTCTTAAATTAGCTATTAACATCCTCTCAGTAGGCAAGAATCTCTCTCCTAAATCACTATTACAATCAATCATATTTTCAAAAATGTCTGACTCATTGGTATAAAATCCAAACAAAAACTAGTACAGGTAGTCCTCAACTTCTGACCACAATTGAGCCCAAAATTTTTGTTGCTAAGCGAGTGTCAACTCATAAAACATTTTGTATACACGTTTTATAGTTGACAACAAAAAGAAGGGGTTTCAAAGAGCAGACAGCTATGTGGAATCGAAAGTACATTCCATTCATATTTTATTCAAAGACTGATTAGATGACTGAAGCTTCTGTTGTGAAAAAATCTAATTGGAGAGCATGATTGATGATGCTTGGCTATGGAGGGGGGGGGCAGGGGGAAGCAGGATTAAGGGTGACAGTGAATTACGTATTTCAGAGTTGGCTACATCTAGGTAAATGCCGGATATAGAATGTTAACTTCAAATAAATCTTTTTTAGTTTTGGGAGTGTGTCTCGAGGCTCATGATTTAATTGGAGTAACTGCCAGAATCCTGACAGCAAGACATTTGTTAAGTGAGTTTTGCTCAATTTTACAACTTTTCTTGCCACAGTTGTTAAGTGAATCATTGCTTAAGTTAGTAACACGGTTGTTAAATGAATCTCCATTGACTTTGCTTGTCAGAAGGTCAGCAAAGGGGATCACATGATCCAAGGACACTACAACCATCATAAATATGAGTCAGTTGCCAAGCATCTGAATTTTAATCATGTGACCATGGGAATGCTACAAGCGTTGTAAGTATGAAAAAAGGTCACAATGTCATTGTAACTTCAAATGATTACTAAATGAACTATTGTAAATCGAGGATTACCTGTATAAATATTGTCATTTCAGGTATTAATTAGAACTAAGGTTTAGCAAGCTTCTCAGTTAAGCAAGGAACCAGCCAAAAGTTACCACTTTTCTCACTGGATTTTATACCAATGAGTCAGAAATATTTGAAAAATATTATTGATTGTAATAGATTATGTAATATGTAATAGATTGTAATAATTATGAGAGAGATTCCTAACTTACTGAGAGGATGTTGAGAGCCAATTTGAGAAGTTTTTTCAATAATTCAAAAACATATATGTTAGGAATGAGAGTCACCTAACAGTTGGGTTGGAAATATATAAACCAGGATAGTAATTAAATACTGTATCTTTAAGAGAATGCTATATGTGTGATTGGCTGAGGTTCCTCCAATGGCCATAAGATGGAGCCAGAAACCTGGTTTCTTTCTCCTTGCATTTCCTGTTTTGCCCTATTTGCCTGATCGTCTTCTACTTGGATTGCTGTGAGTTTTTGCAACCGTTAGCAAACTCTGTGTACTGAACTTTGTTTATGATACTTGACTTCATTTTTGGATTATCCCTGGACTGATACTAACTGCTTTAACTGTGTATTATTTGGACTGTTTGTTGGACTTTGTTTATCTGTTTACTAGAAGTAAAACCTACATTTTACTATTCAGTGTATCTGTATGCTGGTTGTGTATTATTCAACACCACTCTCACTACATTTCCCTGAGTGCACTCATTCTCCTAATGGGGAATGCCTCAACAATATACAATGACTTTCCATTTTCTATAGTTATAATTAGTTGGGAGTATTCTTTGAACATATGAAGAATACGGATGAAGATTTGATCCAATTCGTTGAAGTTGTGGGAATCAATGGCTATAAGCCTTGATGCCTCTGAAGGTCATTGCTGGGGGATTAGTCAGCTTCCTTATAAGATTTATTGGCCACTGGGAGAAGAGTCAAATGTCCAATCTAGTGTAGCACTTCCTAGGTTTTTATATTCTTATGTTTAGTTAAAGATGAGCTTTAGAAAATATCCATAATCCACTCTTACTTCATATTGTAGGCCAATGTATTTCATATTCATGGAGGATACAAAATCAATGTAGTTAAGTGCAAGAATTGTTCAATTAGACAGTGATTTTGAGGTCACTGTAATGTGTTCCTATGAGTTCTAAGCCCAATTTAAAGTATTACTTATTACTTATAAGCTATACAGCATAGTACCAGGTTGTATCAGTCACAGTTTTGATTTGCATAGTTAACACTGTCTAGTTCATCCTGGAAAGGCTGCTAAAAGTCACTTCTTCATTCAAGGTACATAAGATTTGAAGAAAAGTGGTGGAATAAGTTTAAATTAGTTCCCCAGAGTAAATTAATTATTGGGAGGGGGGACAATATTATCTTTAACAGAATTAAAATCATTAGTTTTGAACAAATTATTACATTTCGAACAACACAAGCCAAGTGATCCTTATGCAACTTAAACATGACAGAGTTCAACAGTCATACTTGAGGGCAGCTTGTCAAAAAATAAGTTGAGATTCAACCTATGTGGAAGCACAGGTTTGGAAACACTGGCTGGACAGCAGGAACTATTAAGATCAAAAACTATTGATACCAGATAACAGACAATCAGAGTTGGAAGGGACCTTGCAGGTCATCTAGTCCAACCCCCCCCCCCCCCAAGCAGGAGACCCTACACCATTTCTGACAAATGGCAGTCCAATCTCTTCTTGAAAGTCTCAAGTGATGGTGCTCCCACAACTTCCATTGGGCAAGCTGTTCCATTGGCTGATTGTTCTCACTGTCAGAAAGTTTCTCCTTATTTCCAGGTTAAATCTCTCCTTGTTCAGTTTCCATCCATTATTCCTTGTCTGGCCTTTGGGTGCTTTAGAAAATAGCTTGACCCCTTTCTCCCTGTGACAGCCCCTCAAATATTGGAACACTGCTATCATGTCTCCCCTGGTCCTTCTCTTCGCTAGACTAGCCATGCCCAGTTCCTGTTACATAAATGAGTGGTTTATATTCAAAATAATTTACCTTTGTTTTCTCTCTCTCTTCTGCTTCTTGAAGTCCAGAAAGGCTTGTATCTGTTTCACTAAGCCACTGCAAGTGACTCTCTGCTTCCATTTCATATGGAGTAAATGAAGGTGAAAGTTCTAATACCTGCCTCCTTTGTAATGACCGAAGCTCCTACAACCCAAAAAGAAAGGTTATAAAATTAATATTTAAGGTTCTATAAGATGGGGGTGGGGAACTATGGCCCTTTTATGACTTGTGGACTTTGACTTCCAGAATTCCTGAGTCAGCCATGCTGGCTCAGGAATTCTGGGAGTTTTAAGTCCACAAGTCATAAAAGGGCCATAGCTCCCCACCTCTGGTCTAAGAGAAGAACCTTTTCTGTCCTAGCCCTTGCCCTTTGGAACATCTTGCCACCAGAGATGAGATCTACCCGCAACCTTCTGGAAGTGCCTTAAGACCTGGATCTGCTGGATGATTTGGGGCCCCAATAAGAGAGGCTCCAGTTTGGAGATGGTTGGTACAGTGACATAAAAACACCATTTCCATTTTGCTCAAGCCTTTTGTTTTTAGTCTATATTTAATACTTGTAATGTTTAAATCATCTTATATTTAAAATTCTTCTTAAGTTTATATTTTTACTGCATTATAAGCTGCCTGAGTCATAGAGATATTGAGATGGATAGCATATAAATTTAATACAGGCAGTCCTCGACTTACAACAGTTCGTTTAATGACTGTTCAAAGTTACCATGGCACTGAAAAAAAGTGACTTATGACCATTTTTCACACTGCAACACCCCCATGGTCATATGATCAAAATTCAGACGCTCGGCAATTGGTTCATATTGATGACATTTGCAGTGTCCTGGGGTCATGTGGGTTTTGCTACCCACTGACAAGCAAAGTCAATGGGAAAATCAGATTGACTGAACAACGGTGCTACTAATTTAACAAGTGCAGTGATTCCCTTCATACAGGTGGCAAGAAAAGTTGCAAAGGGGGGCAAAACTCCCTTAATAAATTTCTCACTTAGCGACATAAATTTTGGGCTCAATTATGTTTACAAGTCAGGGGCTACCTGTAAATAAATAATGATAGTAGAGAAGAAAAGGCAAAAAGGTGGATTCTATATGTCTCAGCGACAAGAGTGAAATTTTTCAGGTGTGTATAAGGCTTCTGTGGGAAGAAAGAAGTCACCACGAAAACATTATAGATCTACTGCACAGCAAGGCTACTTTCACTGACCTTTGCACTGCTTTGCTTGGTCTGGAGGAGGAGGAGCTGCAAACGAATTTTTTCTCTCCGGTTATCTTCCATGAGCTGCTGTAACAAATGCTCACCTTTTTGCAGAACTTCCTCAATTTGAGCTCTTTCTTCATCCAGCTACAATTTTAGAAAGAAGGACATATTTTCAGGACTACTTGGGGCAACTAGCTTTTGTTACTCCCAAGGAGTAAGGCTATACAGAGAAACATGTATAGCATGGTTGTGCATGCTTAAACACTATTCGGAAAAAGTGCAGCAGGCCTCTCTGCTATTCACACTGTGCACAAAGTGAAAAATAAAAAGGTATCAATCCCATAAAGAAATCACCTTTCTTTGGGTTGGCACCAATAACAGAGAGGTGTTCTGTTGCATGAGTTTGGAAGTACTTTCTCAGAATCCTTTTTTGAAGAATGCAGAACTCCAATTATAATAGTTTTATCCTCCATACAGAATCAGCGAATTCATGTTTTGTTGTGAATTCATTAGGAGGTCATTGTAATTACTGGCTTTGCAATATTTAGTTGTACGGCAACGCAAAACGAACAGTCTTCAACCAAGACACCAAGCATTAAAATAATAATCAGTGTTCTGTATCTATATTTATATCTCCTCCAAACAAATTTCCTTTGTTGCAGAAGTAAGCCGGGGCTATGATACAGCAACAGCAGCTGGGGGAAAATCACTGTTGAATATCTCCTACAATGCCTAGGAGCATCCAAATGCATGATTTCAAATATGACACAACTATACATTTTATCATAATCAAACAAGACAAATCCCTTGCACATGTAGAACTGAATGTACAGGAAGACCACAACGGTGAAACAGCTGATACAAGAAAGATCAATATCTATTGCATGCAACAAGTGAATTATAAACTCGTCAATAAACCTTTAGGTCACAGGATTTCAGATTTTAAAAAAAATCATGCCTGGGAATTAAAAGGGGGAGGGAAGAAAGAAAAGGTAAGGATGAGTATGATAGCTTTGTTTTAACATGAAATTCTCCAACCTTTTCATCATCTTCTTTTGATTCCATGTGCTTTTCCACTATGTTCAGCATTTCCTTTATCTCACATTCAAATTTATCAAGGTCTTTAGAAGCCACTGCAATTCCACAGAGCTCCTGCTTAGCAAACCTTTTATGAGCATCCTGACTGAACAGCATCTGACACACACAAAAATAGCAAGCATCCTGATCAGTAGTCAATATATTTGTATACATATCACATAACTGGAACAGTATAATTGTAAATGAATAAATAACCTTGTAGAATTTCTCATCCCCAAAACTGACAGTAAGAAATTATCTTTTGCAGTTAGCTAGTAGGCTAGTGCAGAAACAGAATTACATGTAAAATAAAATGATTCGGCAAACCCCCCAGAATATATTACTTTATGTGCTTTTCATGACTGAGAAGAGAAAAGAAGTTTTGGACAGCATGCCATTTTAACATTTTAAAAATTAAATAACTATCTTCTTTCTTTTTCTTGTTTTAAAAGTATTGTTGAAGAGATATTGCTGTCCCACTCAAAGTAGGGCAGAACTAATACAAGTAGTCCTTGTTTATAAACTGCTTCATACAATAAATGTTCAGAGTTACAAAAGTTTTGAAAAAAGTAACCAGTGTCCAACTCTTGCATTTATGGCTTTTACATGTCCATAAAGCAAAGGAAAGCTGAAGTATTGTACTCTTTCATTTAGAGACTGTTTCCCCAAACCACGAAACTAGCTTGTCCCAAATGCAGTTGCTAAACAAGGACTATCTGTATACTTTTGTCCTTGTGCAACCATGTGCACAAGGAGATTATCTCCTAAAAATGCAAAAATGCAATGAAATATTAGAAAGCAGTTCCCTTTGACATGCATTTCACAGAACCATTAGAGAAGTAAAAATCAGCAATATAAATGTAAAAATAGGCCAGTATAGATACACTTAGAACCAGGAAGTCTTCTGTACTCACCTTGGCACTTCTGATGTGCTGTGATACTTTTTCAAAGTTCCTATTCAGTTCGGTCAATTTGGGTTCTACAAGCTCATGACATGATACGCCACGACCGCTCATCAGCATAACAGCTTGGTCACGTACATTATCAACTCTGAGACTAACAGCATCCAATTCTGATGTTAGGCGCTGTGAATGGGAAAAAAAAATAGGGTTATTGTTTAGATCACAGTAGGATTAAAAAAGCAAAGGAAGGGAAACAAGACAGAAATTAACCTCAGCACCTGGCAGACTTTCATTTGGATCCAAAATATGTTATTACTGTCTAAGCCATATCAGTAAAATTTTGCTACCTTCACTGTCTCTTCTTTCTTGTTGGCAGGCTTTTTCTCAATTTCATCCAACAGAGCTTCAGCTTGGTACAGCCAAGTGCTTATGTGGGCAACGTTCTCATCAAAAATCTCCAGTTGACTTTGGTGATTCTGTAAATGAAAGATAAAGATGAATCAATGGAAACATACCTTAAATGTCAATAAAATTTAGCTATTTTAATAGAAAACATTCACAGTGGTCTTTCATTTGTTTTTTTCAGCTCCATAATGCCAAGACCTAAGAATAATTTGGTATTTATTTGTTATAATTTTAGTCACTAGATTTGTATCTTGTTTTTTTTTTCCAAAACTCAAGACGACATATTATACACTGTCTTCGTTCCAGAGAATTTCTTTACAACAAAAGTTCCAATACTGTTCCCACACATGCACCAGGGGTGAAATTCAACCACCTCGCACCACCTCAGAAGTGGTAGTAGTGACAATTTGAATTGGTTGGCCCCACCCGCGCCCACCCGCCTTCTTCCTTTTAGAGACTGAGTCCCACCAAGCCATGCCCACAGAGCCGATAGGAAAAAAAATTGAATTTCACCTGACATGCACACACATGTGCACACACATGGAGATGGAGATGGAGAGATAAAAATTATATATAGATTTGAATTTAGATATATAGATGGAGATGGAGATGGAGAGGAGAGAGAGTGAGAGGAAGAGAGAGGGAAGGGGAGGAGGAGAGAAAGGGAGATAGTGGCCACATCTTGCATTTAGGGCACTTGGTAACCAGCTTGTATTTACAGCTATTTGTAGTAACCTGCTGTCACATGATTGTAATTTTCAGTATTTTTTGCCGGTTTCCAGCTATCAAAAAAGGTGGAAAATTGGGCACAGTCACTTGGTGACTCTTGACTGCCTGAACTTACCACCATAATTTCAGGCTCAATTATGGTCATAAGCTAAGGCCTACCTATAAGATAAAGACAATGAAGTGAGAGGCCCATTCAGAGTTGCAAGACAGATGGTAGTCCTTCAAGGTAGAACAAACCTGAACATCTAACTCATGCATACTAAAAAGACTTTGACTATAGGATTACAGTTGTAAAATCTTGCTCCCCTGAATGTCCCTCTCTTCTCCCTGCCCTGAACGGCCAAGTCAGAAACGCTTTCTCAAATTCCCTTCCAGCTCCAGGCTCAGATTTCTCTTATTTTGACCATTACCTTGGCTGCAGTTCTTCATCCTCTTCTTCAAGATTATTCTCAGAGCCCATTACATCCATTTCTGTTTTTTTAAGTTTTGTAAAAGCAATTGTTATTATGATTATTGCACTGATAATGGGTACGGTTTATTTAAATTAACTTCAAAGAATATTTCCATGAGTTCTCTTTTGCAATAATTATTTTTAAAGTATTTATTCTTGGGCTAAAGCTTCAAATAAAAGATTTTGATTCTTCCTGGTCATGAAGAAGCAACTCTATCAAATTGTTCAATATATTTTACTATTTCTGGAACAGCTGTCAAACTTCATCATCTGATACACTTTTCCATTTAACAGGTCAGCCTAAATACTCTCTAGACATATTGTCCTAGCTGGCCTAGTCATGGGACATTCCAATTTAACATATCTTGGAGGCATTCAATTGAATAAGCATGTTCTCTCCTTAAAGGAAACTTGCCATTTGTAAACATTTCCTACTTCAACAGTAATAAGACCATCATCAATGCATATTACTCTATCCAAAGCCATACAGATAATTAACTGAAGAGCATCCAGAAGCTCCAGTTGGTGCAAAATGCAGCAGCCCGCATGGTTTTGTGCAGACCCCGCTGTGCACATGTGTCACCTCTCCTGCAGGAGCTGCATTGGTTGCCGATTTGCTTCCGGGTGCAATTCAAGGTGCTGGTTGTCACCTTTAAAGCCCTTCATGGCTTGGGTCCGGGTTATCTGAAGAAACATCTCTTGCCAATCACATCTTCCCAACCCATTAGAGCGAGGAAGCAGGGAATGTTGCAGGTCCCAACCCTGAGGGAGATACACCTGGTGGGACCCAGAAGAAGGGCCTTCCCTGTGGTGGCTTCCTCTCTCTGGAATATCATTCCCCCAGAGATTAGAATGGCCACCACTCTAGGACTCTTCCGAAAGGCACTGAAGACCTAGTTTTGCCAGTGGGCCTGGGGAACCCAGAGAGAGATGGAACCCATCAAATGGCTAGTGTGATCTGCTGTCGTCAGGGCAGATAACAGATAATCAGAGTTGGAAGGGACCTTGTAGGTCATCTAGTCCACCCCATGCCCAAGCAGGAGACCCTACACCATTTCTGACAGGGGTGGGGGGGAGTTGGGTTTTTTGGAGGAGGGGTTGTTTTTTGTTTTGTTTTTTGTTTTCCCAAATTTTGTTCTATTGTACTTTACTAATTTATTTGATTCTTTTTTTAGTTTTTTTTTTTTAGTTTTGTTTTGTTTTGAATATGGTTTTTACATTGTGTAAGCCGCCACGAGTCGCCACAGCGAATAGGCAGCAATATAAATTAAATAAATAAATAAAATAATTCTACAAGTTTTAACTTACCAGAAGTGTATTGCACCAATCTTCGGTCCAGGTCCGGACTCTACTCCATCCTGCATTAAGAACACAGAGTTTTTCCTCCAGCGGAGTTTCACTTCCATCCACTAAGGCCTGCAGTGCAGCACTGCTTTCTGTTACACTGTTCAAATCTACTTTCTTCCTCTCCAATTCTCTCAGCACATTCTGGAAGGTAATTGGGACCATTAACAGAACAGAATAAAATTCCTCACGGTGACAGAACCCAACATTTTATTATTGGTTTGGTTTCTAGCTTGATCAGTTTTCCCAATGAATGGCATATCCCTGCAATGATATATGATACTGAAAGGAATCCAAATATATGATATGATATATAATACCTAAAGGAATCCAAAGCAAGAGATCTTCTAAAATTCAGGAAGTCATAGAATAGAAAATTTTCAAAGAAATGTTAGTCTCAGTAACTGGTAAGGTTATGTTTTAAATGCTCTATTTTTTGTTTCAATTACATTCTGTAACTGACTTTGCAAAATCTATTATGACATGTCAGATCGATGCAAATTGCAGTTATTATGCAATCTGATAATAAAGTAACTTTATTCCACAAAGCTTTTTTTTTTGCAAATTTGGGGAACTACATATCTTTCAAGGGGAAACATTAAGATTGCTTTTGGGGGAATATATTTTTCATAAATTGGAAAAAAAATTGTTTAAATATTTTTACTATACTTTAAATGATCTTACAGCAGTTTAAGTAGCTGTTTACTAATAAATCAGTCTCACTTTCTTAAATGGTTCTTATTTTAACAGAGAAACATGTATGCAATGAGTAATCTAATGCAATAGTAAAGTATAATTTTAGCCTTACAAATGTTTTGCTCATATAGATTTTCGCTTCCCCCTCTGTTATTTAGGATGTAAAAATTCTGGACCTAGTTAACAGCAAAATAAACATCCAGCAAGTTATGATTTGAAACTATCACTTTCCTGTAAACCAAGATCACACTAACACTGTTTTGAAGACAAAATAAGTATTCCACAGAATATAACGTCTGTCATATTTGAATAACATGGACAGCTATGGTTTGTTGCTTAAGCATCATCTGAGATTTCCAATGCCAATCCAAAAAAAGAGGAAGAGTTACACAAACCTCAAAAAATGTTTTAAAATATAAAATCTACATTTAATTCTAGAGTTCTCTTCAAGAATCTCCAAGCTTTTTCTCACATGCATATTTTTTATGGTAGGATATACACTTTTCTTCATGATAGAATTCACTTTATAGGAATAACATGCAGAATTATTCCTACAATTTCCTATTTCAGTGGGAAGCCACATGGTGCCCTTTTTCACTTTAGATTATATATTCATGCATGTTCTTTGTTCAGAATAAATAATACACAGAAATTATATTGTTTCGTTTTCAACATTAGTCCCAGGCCCACAAACCTCCTCCTAGCAGGCTAATGACATTTTGCACTCAATTAGTCAAAGAACTGACTAACCATGACATTTTTAAAATAGCAATCAATAATTAAAACAAGCAATTACGTTCAAAAAGCCAACAGCTGCATTACATTAATAGAAAAAGAACTAAGTACAGGGCATTGGATCTGTTAATTTTTTAATTCTGTTGGTAGAATTCATCTGTTTGAAATGGTAAAAGTTTTAAAATATTTACAAATGGCAAACAAATGAGTGAAGTCTGTCAAGTTGAATTCAATATTTAGTGGCCTCTTCTAAAATATTAATATAATAAATGCATTTGAGCAGCATGCATATTACAGAATTGCTTTCTTTAAAAAGAATGCATAGGCATATAATACAATAGCGTCAGAAATTTCCCTATAACAGGAAAGGAGAGGAGAGGAGACTAAATCTCTTGGAGGAAGTCTCTAATTCCTTGCAGTACTCAACGTGACATGTTTGGATGCAATATAGAATATGCTTCCAGATAGATTCCCCCATAAAACCAGAAGAAAAATCCAGGTGGATTAACCTAGATTTGAAATCACTGAATGAACTCCATATCTGCTGGATTCAAATATTTAAGCTAGGTTCCAGGTTAAAAAGGTTGATTTTTGTCCAACAATAAGAACTATAACAACAAGTATCAAAATGAGATGCAAACTAAGAAGGCTAAGGACAGGCTGCTTACCTTAGCCCAAGCAATTTCAGTGTCCAGATCAGAAAGTGTACGTTCTGACGTGGACTTATGCACCAGTTCAGCTTCTGTCACCTCTAACCATTTGGATAAGGAGTGGGAGACTTCATTGAATTTGCATGAGAGTTGCAATGCCTGTTCTAGATCTTGTTTTCCTTCTGTCACCTGTTGTTTTGTTTTTTTTAAAAAAGTATATAAAAAGAATGAGCATCGAGAACAAACAATTAAGAAAACTTACTTGATCAATATTATGTGTGGGTCACACAGTGAGCAGATGTTTGGATGGGACTGGCATTTTTATTTACCTATCAAGTCCTTCCCAAGGACCCTGCATAGACAGATGTTGCTGTTTAATGGTATTAATGATATCTTCATATCAGAGGTGGCATTCAGCAGGTTCTGACCAGTTCTAGAGAACCCGTAGCAGAAATTTTGAGTAGTTCAGAGAACCAGCAAATACCATCTCTGACTGGAGATTTTACAGTATCCTTCCCCTGCCATGCCCACCAAGCCACACCCATAGACTGGTAGTAAAAAAATTTGAATCCCACCACTGCTTCATATGATGTAAGCTGTTCCAAATAAAACTGTTATTTGCAATTGACTGGTGGGGATTTTGTCAAACTAACGGTTTTCAAGCAGTGTTCCAGATTTTTGGAATTGCAGCTAAAGCACCTTTTAAATTTAGTATTATTCCACAACCTCTATTTTGGCTATGGTTACTTGCCTCTAAAAAGAATTTGTCCTCATCAGTCAACTACATCTATGAAGGAAAATGGATAAGGAAAAGGCATTCAATGACAATTCTACAAGATAGATGGGCTCATGAAGGAAAATATGATCTGTCAAGAAACCACCTCTTAGATCATTTATTTTATTTTCCAAAAATAAGTGTATGTTGCTTTTTTTCTTTTTATCAAATCTCAAAACAGTTACCCTGGATAAGCCTGGACTATATTTCTCATCAACCATGACTACAGGATAATAGTATTGATGTGGAAATTCACATATTTTCATCTCTGGTTTAAACCATTATAGATTCTCACTACAGATTTAACTTGTTAATAGTAAATCATCCAAAACCAGTCGGGTTCACATAATATTTAATGAAATGCTTGAAATTCACCTCAAGTGGATTTTACACAGTGAAACAAAACTGTACATAGGAAAGACTAACCTGCGCTCCCAAATCATTATAAAGGAATTTCAGTGCTGTCAGTTGTTCATCCATGCTTTTGGGGTTGTCTGTCTGCTGTTTCTGTACAATCTGCCTCCCTGTTTTGATCACTGTCTCCACTTCAAGCTTTACTTCACTCAGGGTCTTATAGAGTTTCTAGAATCAGGACACCATATAGTTTTATTATATGATATTAAAGTACAATATTTCAGCTTCCAGATTTAATTTTACTTTTCAATAACCATCAGAATTGAACCACATTATCATCTTTATGCATACCAAATCCCCATTCCATGGTGCCCAGTTTGCTACAGTTAAGGACAAATATTAACTATAACTAGATTCAAATTAGTCAGTAACCCAATTCTGAGCAATGGTTTCTATTTAGAAAATAAATAACAAAAATTCCCCCAACATCATAGCAAACAGAAGTTACCATGAAGAATCAATGGGAGATCATATGGCAGCTTAGAACAAAAGAGAAGAGTTAAGAGGGAAAATAACACCCAAGTTCCCAGCATGTTCAAAGGCTGGTAATGATGTCTGAATATAGCCCAAGTACAATGGAAATAACTCCATGATTAAAAAAAACACTTCACCTTGCTAAGACTTTGCTCATTTTTAATCTGACTTAGACTGATCGCACTTTAATGGGAGATTTCATATTTGCAGTACAGATGTTTTAGATGAGGGAATAGACCAGGAACTCATCAAAGTTATAGATGACAGGAATAGCCATCAGCCCAGAAGATAGGATCAAGATCCAGATGGATCTCAACAGACTTGAACACTGGGCCCTATCTAACAAAATGAAATTCAATGGAAAGAAAAGTAAGGTTTTACATTTAGACAAGAAAAACAAAACATACAGGTGCAGATCAGGTGAAACTTGGCTCACTAACAGTAACTGTGAGAGGGACATTGGAGTCCTAGTGGAAAATCACTTAAATAAGAACCATGAGTGTACTCCAGCTGCCAAAAAACCCAATGCAATCCTAGGCTGCATTAACAGAGGGATAGAATCAAGATCATGTGAAGTGTTAGTACTGCACTATAAGGCCTTGATAAGACATACTTGGAACACTGCATCCAATTTTGGTCACTGCAATATAAAAAAGATCTTGAGGCTCTGGAAAGAGTGCAGAGAAAAGCAACAAAGATGTTTAGGGAGCTGGAGGCTAAAACATATGAACAACAGTTGCAGGAATTGAATATAACTAGACTAGTGAAAAGAAAGACTAGAAGTAACGTAATATCAGTGGTTCCAGTACTTATTTGAGGAAATGCCACAAAGAAGAGGGGAGTCAACCTATTTTCCAAAGCATAAGAAGGCAAGACAAGAAGCAACTGATGGAAACTAACTAAGGACAGATGCAACACAGAACTAAGGAGAAAGGTCCTGAAAGTGAGAACAATCAACCAATGGAACAGCTTGCCTTCAGAAGTTGTGGGTGCTTTATCACTGGAGCCTTTTAAACAGAGACTGGACAGCCATTTGTCTGAAGTTGTATAAGGTCTCCTATTTGAGCAGGGGGTTGGACTAGAATACCTCCAAGATCCCTTTGAACTCTGTTATTCTATTATTCTGTTTCCACACAGGTCTGAAAATAAATCATGCCTAAAATATTGGCTAAATGAGCGTGTTAGTCTTTTATATTGATGAGTAAGGTAAAGGTTCCCCTCGCACATGCATGCTGGTCGTTTCTGGCTCTAGGGGGCAGTGCTCATCTCTGTTACAAAACCGAAGAGCCGGTGCTGTCCAAAGACATCTCCATGGTCATGTGGCTGGCATGACAAAACACCGAAGGCGCACAGAACACTGTTACCTTCCCACCAAAGTGGTCCCTATTTTTCTACTTGCATTTTTACATGCTTTTGAACTGCTAGGTTGGCAGAAGCTGGGACAAGTAACAGGAGCTCACTCTGTTAGGTGGTGCTAGGGACTCGAACTGCCGAATTGCCAACCTTTCTGATCAACAAGCTCAGCATCTTAGCCAATGAGCCACTGGGTCCCTTATACTGATGAGATTCTATATCAAATGTAGCTCCAATTGCTATTAAATTGGAGAATAAAATCATGCTCTTAGAACATATACTACTCTGATAATACGAGTGAAAACCATTCTTTTATCTCAAGGCGCAAAATCTCTTCCTTTCATTCATGTTTTCTACCACTGCTGTGAATGTCAACTGTCGAGCTACTGGAAAGTTCACTGCCATGGAGGTAAAGAAGCAAACAAAGTTTCATAGAGAGAAATTAGGAAAATTTAGTCATAGCATTATATTACCATGCACTTATCAAAGTGAAACTGAATGATATCCGGATCAATATCCTTCACATCCAAGATATGGAGTTCAACTTTTACACTATCCAGAACTCGTTTACAATCCAGCATACGCTGCTCAAAATTTGCTGGTTTCTGGAACAGCTGATACTTCGTAGATACTTCCCGGAGCTTTCTCTGTTTATGTAAGAAAGCAAAAATTTGACACATTTGCACCCTTAGAATGAAAAATCTTTCCACTAACTGTTCTTATTTATATCTTACTCTTCTAGTTCAGTATTTCTTTCTTTTTTATATATCATTATGGATTTCCTCTCCTTATAACCATATTTCCCTCTTTTTTAACTTACAGAATAATTTATCTCTAAATCTGAGATCTTATCTTTTCCACTTAAACATGACAAAATCAACTTTTCAAAAACAAGATAAAAAACCATAGAGAAGTTTTGTCTAGGACTATGTTTGGGGAATTTCAAAGGTACAGTGTGTACTCCGTTTCCAAATTTTCTTCACTTCTGTCAATCCCAAAGGGCAAAACCAGACATGGAACACCATGAACTAATCAGTTCTCCCTCTAGCTACCTAATCAGAGAATTCACAAAATGGGATTTAAACACCATCTCATGTCCTGAATTTATAATACTTCCCAGAATATCAAAAATCTTCTTGCTTGAAAGGATTCCTCATCTCTAATTAGTACTGTATTTTTTTTTCTTCTTCTACCTTTCAAAATCAATGCTGTCAAGTTTGCCACTTAATTCCTTATCAACTCCAAACTCAACCCTTCTATCCTGGTTTCTATTTGCTATGCTCCACTGCATCTTTCTCACTGTTCACTTTATTGTGAAATGCCTCTGTCTAGACTCCACTCCTCATAATCTCTGTTTTGAAACAACCACTTTCTCTTTCCCTCTCTTTAGGGGATTTATTGGGCACTTCTACTTAGTTTTCTATAGTCATTAAGGAGTGCTTCTGATAAGCCAGCCAAATGCCATAATCTTAGTATTATCTATTCCTCAAATATTTACTCTACCTATTTGCAATGCTAATATCCATCCTGTTCAACAGATATAGATTCTTCAAGTCCACCCCCCACTCTTTTCATATAAAATATTGGAAAAAGGATGTCAATAATTATTAAAATGTTTAACAATTGCCCAAAGATATAAGAAAAGTGTATTATAGCATATTTCACAAATAAGAGCTTTCAGAAGTATGTAAAAGTATTAGCCTACTTTTTCAAATATATGCCTATAGGAGTTGAAAAGTCTGGAGAAAATGAAAGTATAAAAGAACAGAAGTGACAAATAAATTAAACTTTATAGTACGTAAAATTATCACAGTTTCTATTGACAACACTGCATTTGAAATTAATACAACAACTCTGCAAACACTGGGAAATTAATTAGCAGTGTGGGGAAAACCTTGATTCACATTCAGGTCTTTGATTCCTTTGAAATGTTTACCTGCAAGACATCCAAATGAGTCCCACCACGGGGAGATCGACACTCTGGTGAAGGTGGCATTAAAGAATAGACATTCTTTCTAAGCTCTTCCAAAGTGGACTCATGAGCAGCAATCTCAGCTTGGATTTTCTGCCATTCATTATAGAAAATGGAGAAAAAAGGACATAGCAGATATCAATCTGTCTATCCAATAAATCATACAACTAAAATGTATTATAAAGAGTATAACATCCACTTTACTCAATGCTGATTTCAGGGATAGACTGCTTATTTCACAATCAAGAGATTACTGAAGATTTTCTAGTGCAAGACACCATCAGCATCTCTTCATAGAGCACATATTCCCTTAATTATCTTACAACTCAAAAACCATGTTACAAAGTATTTTTTAAGGTAAGGTAAGGTAAGAAAAGGAAAGGAAAGGGGAAAGGGCAAGAGAAAGAGAAAGGGTAAGTAAGAAAGGAAAGGAAAGGTGAAGGGGAAAAGGGAAAGGGAAAGGAAGAAATACCTGTGCCTCTTGAGGCATTTGGAAGGCATCTATTCTATTGGTCAAATAGGATGTTAGCTGCCTATCCAAATCTTTCAAGCTTTCCTGAAGAACCTGCAACATGTGCTCAGTTTCTCGCATCATCTGAAGTTGTTGCTCCAAAGAAATCTGTTTACTGACTGCCTAAGGGGAGACAAAGAAATATTTTGCATGAAAACTTTTGAACTGTATATAAACCTAAATATAAATACAAAAATAGTAAATCGGAACTGCTTACACTATGCTGTTATTTTCTGATTGTCAACAATGCAGTGAAATATTACTATCTTGTGGTCAAGGGATTCTTGCTGAAAGGCACATAATTCAGAGATTCCTAGCATGTCAACTTAAGTCAGAATCACTGACTTTAGCATTCACATTTGTTATCAAAACTTATGGAAGTTTCCAGAGGACATATTAATATCATTGAAATCATGATGGAATCCATCAATCCTCATAGACAACAACAGTTTCTAAATGACTATCAGTTCAGCTCTTTGTCCCTTGCAAGATCCTCTGTCCTGTATTTTTCAAGGCCAAAAAGGAGTTCTCATTCCAAGGTAGCGAGTAAACTTTTAAAACTACTATGGCTTTACTCCGTATTCTGTAATCTGAACCATATAAATCTGCACATTATACTTCAATCCTTTTTAAAATATAAAATCAGATGTCCAGTCATTTTACAAATTTATGTGGGATGGATCTTTGTTGGTAGAGATCATTTGCATCGTTTATAGCAATCATGATTTAAATGTGCATTTCTAAATTGTTATTTTTTCCCTTTTTGTTTGAGGAATGTAACCCCATGACTTGGCATCATAATTCTGTTTCTCACCTACACAAAAATGTAGGATCTACTAAGCTGAATCTGGATCTGTTCAAGAATTCACTCAGCCATCCAATTTATGGTGTAGGTCGGGCAGTTGTCAAACTTCTGACGGACCATAATGCAAGATATAGGTAGTGTTGCCATAATTATGCACATCTGACCTTACTATAGGGTAGTCCTTACTTCTATAAGCTAGTGAAGAGCACCTTTAAGCATCATTCAAAACTGTACATTGTGGATGCTGACAGCAGTAAAAACAAATGTTTCATTCCATCAAAGTTACATATCATACCACATGACTTAATTCCTCATAACGGGCATTGAAAACTTCCAACTTTTCACTGATGATTTCATCAAGGATGCCTCCATCTATCAGTGTTTGACCAAGCTCCCGAATTTGAGTCCGATTGTCAGCTGGATGGCGCAGAATAGATTCCAGTGACTAATGAGAAAATAATTAAACCAAAATGTAGGCACTTATTTTCTAACATACTGAATGCAGCACTCTTGACATTTTAAAACTGGAAAAAATATCATTCAGAAAAAGCATAAATTTACAGTGTCTGAGGACTCACATTGCCATTAAGAAAACAATGAAACATATGGCATCTTATCACTCTAAAATAGTTATGGAAATTACAGACAAATATATCAGAACAGTGGGACCCATAAAAAAACTCAAGAATTCTACCAAAACAAAAAGAGCAAGAGGAAATAAAATTAGTAAATGACAGCAGAATCAGTGCAATGTAAACCCAAACTTGAAAAAAATATTAGTTTTTTTTTAATGTCTTCAGACAATAAAAAGGAAGGAAGACAGCATCACCAAAGGGAATGAATTCTATAGCAGAAAGTGGTGGTGTTTGTAAAATCTCCATGTACGACGGAAGCAGACATGGGGCCTCTTCTAGTCAGGGTTACCAGTACTAGACTGTAAAAATCCAGAAGACCATTAGATGGCAGCACAAAGAACTTTATATATCTCTTTGCTGCCATCTAGCAGCAGTAAATTTTGGCATTCCCAATCCCATATTTCTGCCTGAGCTGATCATAATAGATATGAAGGGTCAAAGAGCAAATGCAGCCTCAAATTTCCTGCACATGGAACATTTAGGAAAAACTGTCACTCTGAAGTAACTACAGACATATACTAGAAAACTTTCAGTTAACTGTGGATAATCAACAGTTGCCTGGCTAATATATTCTAACTACAGTTTTTGAAAGATCTATGTAGAACATATTGCCATAGCCTACTCTAAATGCCAGTGAACTACTGAACAATAGAAGCCAAGTTTATTTTATATGCATTATGTGCCAGTCAAAGCAAGTTAAAAGAATTCCAATTAGTCAATATAATCACCAAGATTTAAAATGTCCTTAGAAAACTTTTGTCTCAAAACAAAAGTTACTGTATCATTAATTCTTCTTTTTTATTCATGTACTTCACTGTCATGTTTCAAAGAATAAGGAAAGTAGTTCGCAGAACAAAAGTTGGAATATTTTGCAAGATCACCGTTTGTTATATAGCAGATCAATAAAGGTTTCTGGTTTACCTTTCTTGTTAACAACACTGAAGCCAAAAATACCAATGTTTCAAAATATGTTTAGACACCAAGAACTGTCTACTAAGAGTGGGAGGGTAAAAAAAAGAAAAAGAAAAGATGGCAGGCATCAAACACACATTCAAAAAAAGAGGGGAGTCTACATAGGGATGCTGCATCTGATATTTTGCACTTTTTTGATCTTTGATCAAAGATCAGAGACTGCAGACACCCGGATTTCTTTTAGCTCAAATAAGATTTTTTTTTTCATATTGATGCATCTTGAATGAAAGCAACCAACCCCACCCCCCTCCCTTCAACAAGTCTGAGTTCTGTCCACTTCTACAATTACTTAAATATTATGCAAAATGAGGAATTTTCATTGTATTTAAATATAGGAGGGGGGAAAATCTTCAGTTAAAAAAATCCCAAACTTATTTGCATAAACTATTTTTACAGACTATCCTTTGTACCTCAAGGGCTTCACTGACAGCATCTATTTTCTCTGGCAAGTGTTCAGTTGTTTTCATTTTCTCTTCCAAAGTATTCAGCCAGGCTGCTTCTAGGTCCAGATAGTGTAGCAGTTCAATCCAACAAGACCATACTTCCTGAAGGGAAAGAATATATGAAAGAAGAAAAGGCTCATTCTATTTCAGAGGCTGGTTCTTCTCAGTCACGTGATAAATTTTGTTTCTTAAGCTTTATGTAGATTTTCCAGAGTATATTATTCATCAACAGTAACGATTTCTAAAACTACTCCAGATAATTTACCAGTTATTGCCTAACAATGAGACTTTCAATTCACTCAGCCTCAGCGTTCTCACTGGCTCAACTCACTTACTGTATCTCCAATGCCAATTCCAGATGTTTGCACTATATACAATATCAAAACAATGGGACAGTATATTACAATGGGTATAACTTAGATGCCACATGAAAAAAAAATATTTGAAGACAATAGCCAGTAATAGTTTCCTAACTCAACAGACAAAAATGTATTACACATATGTAATATGTATTACACATTGCTTACACATATTCTATACTTCTTTATCTGAATCATTAATATAGAATTTTCTAATTCACCATCTTGTGGTGAATTAGAAAAATCACTGGCAGATAGGAAAGCACTCCAGCGGGTTAATGTCATTGCCCAGAAGATTATTGGTTGCCCTCTCCCCTCTTTGGAAGAGCTTTATAGCTCCCGCTGTCTTAAGAAAGTTCAAAACATTATCAAAGATCCATCTCATACTGGGAACCCCTTTTTTTGAACAATTACCATCTGGCAGATGGTACAGAATAATAAAAACAAGGACAAATAGGCTGAAAAACAGCTTCTATCCCAGGGCAGTAGTTCTTTTAAATTTTGCTGTATAGTGCAGTGTTGGTGTGGTGTCGGTGGTTTCTGGTTCAATGTGTGAAGGGTAAAGGATGTGTGCTTGTGTTTATTTTCATGGTCATGGTCATGATGTGCACTGAAGATGGTGTTTGGTTTTGTTGTACGAGGTGCAATGACAATAAAGTAAAGTAAAGTAAACTAAACTAAACTAAACTAAACATGACCCAAAATTGATTCGGATCACATTCTAAAGTTTGTTCCAAAGCTAGTAATGTATTTGCCCAATGTGACTATTGACTAAAATAGAAAACTGAGTTTAAGAACTTGACTTTAACCTGATTTACAGCTACAAAGAATTAAATAAGAGGCCTGACTGCAGAGTTGCTATTTCATATTGCTATCAAAAGTATTGTAGGAAATATAGGAATGCAGGTAGAAGTTAAATATACCTGAAATACTTAGTAGGCAATATATAATTCAGAAATAATCACTATATTGATGGAGTCTTAATATATGCATTTCATTAGTTATATTTCTCATCCATATATCCCTGGTTTTTCATTGACATGTTAAAATCAACAAAAACAGTGCACTGTCACTAATTTTGGCCACTATTTGAACGTTCTTTACTTGCATAAGAAATGGATTCTAACTAATGGGCTGTAACTACAATCCTTTACTATTTAAAAAGCAGTGTTAACATATGTGTGAGGCTTAAAATTAGTGTTGAGTCTTGGAAAGTGCCTACAGTTTTCTTGGCAAAATTTCACAAGTAGTTTGCACTTGCCTTCTTCCTAGAACTGAGAGTGAGTGACTGGCTCAAGGTCACCCAGCTGGCAGTGTGCCTAAGGCAGGACTAAAACTGACGGTCTCCTGGTTTCTAGCCTGGAACCTTAAGCAATATGTCAACTGGCTTTCTAGGAAGCTTTAAAATAACTAGAATTAAGTATATAATAAAAGAGTTTTGAGTTTGTTCATTAAATAAGTTGCTGGTCTAACAATGCCCCCAACCCCAACTTTTAAATCTAGAGCAAAAATATACCATTGGCATGATTTCTTTTTAACTTTGAGAGTAAAAACTTACGTCTTAAGTATTGATGTTAAGGGAAGAAAGAATTAGTTACAGGCCATACCTCCAAAGTGTGGCATTTCCCTCTGATCCTGTTGCACAGTAGCTGGTAATTCTCCAATACAAGGTTGAGCTCCGTTGTTAAGTCCTGACCACCAGATGGCAGTTTAGTAGCTAGCATTTTGATGCTGTCTTTCAGAATTTTCACCCTCACTTCTTTCTGCAGCACATCTTCTTTTGCTCTCTGCCCAGAGGAAGCAAATAATGACCACACTAAATTGCAATCACTATATTAACAATGGAATCTGAACTAATAATTAAAATACTGAAATGCATTGTTAACACTGTATTTCATATGCCCGTGAGAAGCGATACAATCCATGTCTATGGGCATTCTCAGTCATCCTGGTCATGGTTATCCCAAAGGTACTTTTCCGAGAGGCAACTGGACTGGTTTTTCTTTGAAGACGTTTCACTTCTCATCCAAGAAGCTTCTTCAGTTCTGACTGAATTCCCCACCATCCAGTTAGAGCTGAAGAAGCTTCTTGGATGAGAAGCGAAACATCTTCAAAGAAAAACCAGAAAGTCCAGTTGCCTCTTGAAAAAGCACCTTTGGGATGAAATCCATGGCTCCCAAGACACTTCACTTGAATTTCTATCATATTTTATCTATTTGCTTTTATAAGCCACCCAACTCCAGTGGACTCTGTAGTAAATATAATTTATATTTACTCTACTAGTTGCCTACCATCATTCTGACCTTCCTTGATGCACAAATGGATTTCATTTCTACACATATTGTGTTGCATACTGATCTATATAAATCTGGTTGCACGGAGTCAACTCATCCCAAGATAAATACTTACTGTGCTTAAAGATTATTACCCCAAAATTCCCAATTTATATGGCCCCAAATAACTAGTACATTAAAAAAAACACTTTCTGATCACATATATTTCTTGGTGTAATTTTTAATAATCTTACTACAATCAAGTGTACTATACCAAGTTTATTATTCTATTGAATGTGACTGTTTCAAAATAAATAATTTTTCAAACACCAAGGTCATGCTGACTAGCAATTCTGACAGTTGCAAAGTCAACATAACTGAGGAGCACAAGACTGGCAAAGGCTACAGAGCACTCAATTACAAAACCTTTTATAATTTAACAGAAAATGCCAGTGGCAATCCTGTCACTCAATTCAAAAAGCTGCCACATTTTCTAATGTTGAAAAAAAACCCTACAATCTGATTTAGTGTTTGATAGCCAGACTATTAAGAATGTCAGTTCCAAAATTTTACTAAAATTGTACTGCATAAAATGAACAAAACATTAAAAAAGACTCTTTACATTCAGAATAGCTGTATATTTTTTTCAAATGTACGTAAATATCAAAATTTGTAATTTTTTACTCCCACTCATGCATCCTTTGTATTTTCTCAGAGAGGTGATCAGCCATTATTTAATTACAATTAGGCATATGATATGAATTAAATTAGGACACAAGCACATATAAAATTATAGCTAAGAGACAGCAGCATTGAAATTTCAAGAATAACCAAAATGGGCTCTGCATTGTTATCAGAGTTTTGAAGTGTTACATTCTCTTATTAATTCCACTAATTCTACATTCATTTTAACACTGTAAAATTAAAGCAAATGTCATTCCAAACTCCAGCCTCCTCTAATCTCACTATGTAGCAAGATTGGGAATTTCTACTCCAACCAGTATTTGCTGATCAAACAGCAGTAGCCTGAAGCCATCTGGTCAAATTGCAGAGTATATGACAGGGCTAAGCAGCAATCTGGGCTTAACAGAGAAAAAAATATTCAGTATGTACATGGACAAACATATTAAACTTATTAGCATATTAAATCATATAAAATTTTAAGGTATGCAACAGTTTTTATATATTTTCACACAGTGCAAGTTCTAGCAGTGACAGTGGACAAAATATGGTCTTATAAATATGTAAATAATTTGGATTAATTCATTTTCAACAGTTAAGTAGGAAGGATAGTCAGCTTCAAACTGTTAAAAAACAAATCACTCTGGTCTTTTCAGAAAAGCATATCCTGATGTAATAATATTAATAACAATAACTAATACACACCCATGTTTAGTGTCTACATCACTTTTAAAATACAATTTAAGTTTTTCAAGTATTCCTGACCTTCATTTCTTCCACTGCATTCTCTAGCTCATCTGGATTCTTATATTCAAAATCTTTCTCCAAATATTCCTCTTCAGCCTGAGCCATCCATTCTTGCATTTCTGTCAAATCCTTTTTGAGATTGACAGCTTTTTCTTGATTTTCCGATAATTGATTTTTATGGCAAATGATCTAGCAATTCAAACAAAGCAACATAAAGTGCACAACACTGTTAAAAGTTATTATTTTAAGAGTGCTGTACAACTGATGAAAGAAAAACACGCGATCAACAGAATGGTGAAAGTTATTTTGAGATAACAACATTCTGCATTTTTTTTTTGGTCAACATGAAATCTAGGAAATAACGTTTTATAGTTACAAGAACAGGCAAATGTAACGAATGCAGTTCTACTTAATTTTTAATGCTCTATTCTTCACATTAAAAATGAAGAAACCCATGATGATGGCTATGGCAGTGATGGTAATCATGGTCATCATGGTTATAATGTATGTTAGCAGCAGTGAACTAGATTCTTAGACTTAGAATAACTTTATTGTCATTTTAAATGCACACTAATCAGCGTACATTAAAATGAAATTTCATTGCCTACAGCTCTCAAAGGGTCTCCACCTCCAATATACACAACATAAACATGACTAAATAGATAGATAGATAAATATTATGCATATATCCACATATCCACATATATTATATGACACAGAGAAACAAGACAGTCTAGTTCGGATGTATAAATGTACATTGCAAGAAAAATGAATCAAATACTTGTTACAAGTATTTATATTTCTAGCATTTCACACATTACTAACACTCTCAGTTCCACTTCTTCCTACTGAGTATGTTCACAAATCCAGTCCAGAATATAAACTGACTAATCTGAAAGAATAATGATGTCATTTTTTGATGTTTTCTAAACAGCATAAGGGATGCAAGGAAAAAGTGCTCTAATGTAGCTATATTCTTATCATTTAGATGATATGCAAATAATGAAAATTGCCTATCAGTATAAACGGCAACAATACCAGTTAAAACAAAATAGCTCATTGGATATATTTTCTGATGAGAATCTCAAACAGATGAGAATTTGAGCCTAAGACAGCATCATCTATCTAGCAAGATAAAGATAAAACTTGAACTGAAAACATCCCAGAGCCTAGTTTACACTACAACAAACTTATAGCCCTCCAGCTGAATTAGTGTATAACTGCCATCCAACAGTAAAGAATATTGGGAGGTGTAATTCATCCCATGTTTACCATATTAAATTATAGCACAGTACATTAGTTCTATAGTTTTAAAATTAAATTGGTTATATTATAAAATTGATGGTTTTTCATAGAGTAATGTAAATGCATTTATTTAGTTTGTATTTCTATTTAGGCACTTGTAAATGTAAAAATGGGATTTTATATGTTGAAAATAAAATAGGATACTTGATATTATATGACTGCAATGCATGTAACAATGCTACTACTTGGGTGCAATGACAGATATGAAAATGCAAGACTAATAGTACCAAGAACCAACCTGCTTGCTTAGTTTGTCCCACTGGGATTGGATGTCTGTCAGTTTGGATTTCACCCAAGCGTTAACAGGCTGGCCTCTTAAAGAAGACTCCATTTCCTTCATCTCTTTTAGAGACAATTCAATTTTTTCCATTTCAATAATAAACAGCTGTTCATAAATGAGAAAAAATATGTTAACAGCTATCTCCAAAGATACAACTTGATATGTTGCTTATTTCTGAGACATTTTATGGATTTCAAAGACTTATTATGTTTGAAAAAAACAATTAACAAAACAACTGAATACATGCACACAGAGAGGGGAGGGAGGGGGAAAGAGTGGGGCGGAAATGTCTTTTTATTTGAATGAGGTTACAAGGTGCTTTTTCATATCATATTAACCAGAGGTGAGCAACTCCTTAAGCACATTTTACACTCTAATATTGGACCACCAAAATTTGGTGGCAAAATGACCATTTATTAATGATAGGATTTTTATCCTTGGAAGGAGATTTAACTGATAAATGGTTACTTAATCCTTAGCTCGTTAAAAAGAAAACTTTTCTGGGTGCACATAAGATGCCTAATGATAAAGTTAATGATAAAATCATTTTAAAATGTCCGTGTTCATACAGCACACATAGCAGAAATAAACTGCATAACCATGCTAACCAAGTTAATAGCTACAATCCAAAGATCAGTATAAATAAATAAAACAAGCTTCTCTTTTACTTCTTTTTACTATAAATTTATTTATATACATAAATAATCCCTATCACTTAACACCAAAGCTGAATAATAATAGTAAGGTGTCTATTAAACACAAGAAAGTAGGTAATAAGCAATGGATTTATCTATCTCCCTGTGACCAGAGAAATTCAATACTGATCAAACCCATGTAAAATTCATGATATTCTTGGTGACTGACATAGCTACAAAATTAGCTACATCTAATTCAAACTAGCACTGATACCAACAATTATGCTACAATTGTGACCTACCTGAAAGCTCATTCCAAAGATACAAGTTTCAGCTCATCATAAAACTCCTATCTTTGATAGAGTAAGCATTAGATGATCTGTATGCTACAGTTTTTCAATTTTTGATTCCAGATATGTGACAGCCCAACTGACCAATTTAAAAAGAAACAATTTTATGAAATACAAGATGAAATACAAGAACTGCACTAATTCAGTTCCGTTTTGGAAATGAGGGCAGACTTCAGCAACTAAAAGAAAGTATGGATGAGAATGGATGCGCTATTCACTAATCATGTTTCTCTTTCTGTGAGCCCCCATACTGGAGACCCATGAATTAAAACCATGCATCTGGAAACCAGAAGAACCCTATTTACTGCCCAGAGAAAATATACCATCACATTTAGGGTTTATATCTATAATGTGGAGAGCTTGCCATATGGTTAGTGGTGCCCTGCCAAAAAGTCTTGCTTCTGAAACATTAATAAAATTGCATTAATTCATCCAAAGGGGGACTTTTTTTTTCCAGCACATTCTCCAACCAGGCTGTAACTGATTTGGCTTGGGAAAAAAAAGATGATCCAAGCATCCCCAGGGTTCAAAGGCTGGTACAACTGAAATTAAGCAAGCCCAGATCTGTCAAGCCACTCATCAGACCTACATCATTATTGTTACCTTGCAAGTGCAGACTAGGATCAGAAAGAGCTAATAGCTCTAATAAACTGCTTTTAATTAAAGGAGGGGAAGATTTTCTAAGAAAATTTCCCTCTAAGAAAAAAAAAATGATGATAACCAGATGCGCCAAAGAGAATGAGCATAAAAATACAAAATGCTAAAAAAAAAGTCTATATTCTTTTTCTAAACATGTACTCATAACAATTAAGATATTTATGGGCAGCATCAGTGAGATCCTTTGGATAGCCAATCAGAACTATGCTACATATAGTTGAATGAATTCCACCTACGACCATGGTGGCTAACCTTTTTGGGCTCACCTGCCAGCACCCAGGAGGAAATGTGCTCAGCCCCCCACGCCCCCTGCACATGCACGTGTGATCCCCCCGCCACCCCCTTACCTGCACTGTGCCTCCCACCTGATTTTTGGCCTGTTTGAGGCCTTTTTCGGCCTGCCAGAGGCTTGAGGGATGCCTCTGCAGGCTTTGCAGGCCAAAAAATGGGCCCATTTCATCACTTCCGGTATTTCCGGAAATACCAGAAGTGAGGCAACGGGCCTATTTTTCGGCCTGCAAAGCCTGCGGAGGCATCTCTTAAGCCTCTGGCAGGCCAAAAAAGGCCCGAAAATCAGCCGGGAGGCGCACACATGCACAGTGAGGTAAGTTTGCCTGGGAATCATGTGCCCGCACAAATGGCTCTGCATGCCACCTGTGGCACACGTGCCATAGGTTCGCCATCGCGGACCTATGACATACATAAAAAGAGACTTCCTTCTTCCATCTTGCATTCGCATTATTACTCTGCATTTACAAATTGAAATTGTAGCAATAATAGCTCCTTGATAACAGAAGTTTCATGCACTCTTCTTCACAATGTTTAGATACAGTCAAGGAATAAACAAAATGGGCATATGCCATAGTATAATAAATTGATGAATCTTACCATGCATTGATCAAGCTGTCTCTGAAGACCTTCAGGTTCTGTTTGCTTGATTTGGTCTTTCATTAGGAAATCTTTCACAGAATCCAGCCACCTCTGAACTACTTTTGAATCAGCCTGAATATAATATAGGAAAGTTAATGTTCTGTAATGTGACGTATTACTCAAATGCCAAATACTCAATTGTTAGTAGTTGCCATGTAAATTTTAAAAATGCAAATATCTGCTCATAACATTTTATTAGGTTCATATAAATATTTGTTAACCAAAAATCCAACTACAGAGATTTTTTTTTATGACACAGAGTAGTAACTACAGTAAACAGGAAAAAAACAATTTATGAGAGTTGCCTCAATAGTGGACTTACAACTCTTTAGATCAGGGGTCTTCAAACTTGACAGCTTTAAGACTTGTGGACTTCAACTCCCAGAATTCCACCTCCAGTCATGCTAGTTCAGGAATTCTGGGAGTTGAAGTCCACAAGTCTTAAACTTGCCAAGTTTGAAGACCCTTGCTTTAGATTCATACCTTGGAACTGAGCAAGGACCAGAGTCGTATTTCACTAAATTAGAAAAACATGTGACCAAAATTATAATTTTGTATTACATTTATGTAGGATTATTTATTTAAATGATTTACACAGCTTTCAATCTCACAAATGCAACTCTGGGCATCTAACAATAGGTTAAAAGCCAAGAGCAACAGCAGCCCAAAATGATTAAAAGCAACTGTAATAAAAATCAAATGCAATATGCCTAAAGTTAAAAGAAATTTCTTCCCGTTGCAAATCAAATAGTAGGCAAGCAAAGTGACTAGCTTCGCCTAACCATCTGGCCCCAATGCTTCAGGGAAAAGCCAAGACTTTGAAACCTTAGGTCATGGCCATCCAGACCTCATGGAGCTAAGCAGGTTCCATGACATATAAGGCACATTTCTTACATCTCCCATTCATAGAAGTAAGTGGAATATGTTGACCCTGTTAGATCTGGTGGGTGAAAATAAATGGAGACAAACAATCCAGCATACAACCTGGCCCTGTCAAATGTAGGTTCTATAGTTCCTGTCTGCTTTAGAATGGACATTAGGGTATACCTTCTTTCGTAAATACCTTCTTTCACTAAACATCTGGACTTTTTTTCCTCTACAATTTTGCTTAGTCATTGTCTTGAATCCTTACAGCAGTGGTCTCCAATCTTTTCAGCTCCCCGGACCAGCAGCATGGGATGATTTAACATGTGTACCCGCCACTTGCACAAATGAAACTTTGTGTGCTCACCCGATGCTTGCGCGGCCCAGTTCTCAATGGGCTATAGACCAGTACCAGTCCGTGGACCAGGGGTTGGGTACTCCTGCCTTAAAGAACCTGCTAATACTCTAGTGGAGATTGGGTGGCAGAACTCTGAGCTCACAGTTTCAAAGATTTTCTCCAGTTTATCAGGGTTAACAGATTCATCCAATAACACTACTGACCTGCATAGAGTCTGATTAAATCAAGGGACTTTATTTGACAGATGCCTAGAATAATGCTCACAATACCCTGCAATGTTCTTCTGGACCCTCCTTAGCAGGAGTGACCAGATTCCTTTACACAAGGCTGCCAACTAGGCTACTGTAAGAAATTTTAGAAATGCTACCGATGGAATTTAAGAGTGTTTTTCATTGTTTTCAATGATTATGAGATCATATTGACATGTTCTGCATTGTTTGTCCAGTTCTTGTATTTTTAGCTCTATCTCCAATTTTTATTATTTTTCAGCTTCATTTATGAAGTGTGTCCAAAACTGATGGAACATACTATATATTCCTAAAAATATTTACTCTATTTTTAGAATGGAGGTCTTTATATACTGACTAATATTTACACAGTGTTAAAAGAATTATTTTAGGGTTAAATACTCCTTATGGACCATTAGCGCTGGGCTCTCCTAAGTCAATCTGTTAATTTTTCACTTTTTGACTCAATTGCATTTAAGACACATTTTTTCCTGTTGTTGAAAACCCACCCTTGGATTTATCCATCCCTTCTAAATATTGTCAGAATGTTATTCTACCATTTGCTTCTAGGTCTCTAGTTTACCCCACTAATTGCTAATATCTTGACTGTCATCTGTTTCTCCTATTAGTTTCCATTTTCCCTTTCCATGCATTGTCCTCACCAAAATACGTTTTTTCTGATTCTCAAAGTCAAAGGTATTTATTCTTATTCACTCTAACTACTACTTCCTTTGATGTGTCATAACTTCCATATCTACTAATATCTTCATCCAATCAAGCTGATGAGAGACAAATTCATATGATTATATGAGATTATATGATCTTGCAAATAGTCCATTGAACTTCACTTCAAATAACACCTCTGAGTCCCCTGTGAGCTACTTCACAGATACCCTTCAAAAATAAAAATAATGCACTCCAGAGGTGATATTCAGCAGATTCTGACCAGTTCTGGAGAACCGGTAGCAGAAATTTTGAGTAGTTCGGACAACCAGCAAATGCCACCTCTGACTGGAGATTTTACAGTATCCCTCCCCTGCCACACCCACCAAGCCAGCTAACAGAACCGGTAGTAAAAAAAAAATTGAATCCCACCACTGGTGCACTCATATTAGAGGTCAAATGATTAATGTTACACCATTATCAAAAGTGCCTAATATAGCAGTGTGAATACTGTGTGAATACAGAAGCCCTGGACCTCTGGAACTATTCTGTGATTGCACCAATGACATGCTTTTATAATTGCAAATGTGCCAACTGGCCCAGAAAGGTGTTGGACCATTATTTTAGTCTATTATCGATTCTCTCATTACACTGTATGCATGAACCCTGATTTACAGAAACAGTTAATATTCATTGTCATTCCTCAGCAGAGAGTAGAAAACAATCATGTAGGAAATAAATGTTTTAAATGTCAGTTAATAAATCAAGCCTCGTTTTCTCAATTAAACAGTAGTTGGAAACCATTCAGGCCATCTTTCATTAAATTTTATATTTTCAGGCAGTAAACAACATTCATTGTTACCAACTAGATATAAAATGTTAAACTTTCTCAAGAAGCTACTAAAATAATTTATTTCTGCTTATTCGGTTTTTAGATTGACTCTCCACATATTGTTATTTTTCCCAGTCAACTGCAATCACTTCTGGCTGCAGAATGATTGATTCATATAATTGACATACCATTTGGATTCATATAAACAGGTGCTAACATTATAGCTTTTTGCAAAATATAAATTAATTTGAGAAGGAGGAATATTATATTTACAAGAAAGTATTTAAACAAAAGGTATTTCTAGTTACCTCAAATGTCCTCAATTTGGAAACAGTTTCTTCCAATAAGTGAACATCTTTAGAAATCTTTAGTTTCAATTTGTCCCTGTATCCTTGAAAACATTTCAATTCTTGCTTGTATAGTTTTGACTTTTCAACAGAAATATGCTTCTCCAATACTTGTGTGTCTGCAACAAGTTTATCAACCATGCCTTTTTGATTTTCTAGGGTTTCACAAACCATCTGCAGGGAATAAATATAAAAATATTAATTATATTTATATAAAATGGTGCTTCTTCACGTTTTCTATCCTATAAAATGTATTTGATTTATTGGCATAATGGAATTGACCTTTGTATCAAATTAGGATGTTGTCCAGTGACAAAGTGAAAGTTATATTGTATAATTAAAAGCTTTTAATAATATTGAACTAGCCCAAAACCCTGATTCTTATATTGACATTTTATGTTGGTTTTAAGACAGCAGTTTATAATAAAAATGGTTGGAGGTATGCCTCTCATTCCATCCACCTTCAACATTTGAAAATCTAAAACTAAATTCTATGCACAACCCTAGCCACTGACATCAAAGGGACAATTAACTAACAATTAATTCTTAACTATAAGAATTCTAACCCAAGATGGAAAAGCCCAGATAAAATAAATCCTGACTTGCTAACAATGCATTTCAACAATTTCTTTAAGAGCTTTTCTTGAACTTAACTTTCTCCTTATTTCTCTCAACCATTTTTTCCAACACTGACAGATTATTTTGGGTATTGTCACAGAATCACCCGTTCTCAGCAACTTTACCTGCTAGAAATGGGATAGCTTTGTACTTTAGTTTAAAATAACTTCAATTAATTTATCTATGGAGATTCTCAGTCGTTCAGGTCAAGGTTGTCCCAAAAGTGCTTTTTTTCAAAAGGCAACTGAACTTTTTTTCAAAAAGCAACTGGCTTCTTGGATGAGAGGTTAAACATCTTCAAGGGAAAACAAAGTCCAGTTGCCTTTTGAAAAAAGCACCTTTGATTCAATTGATTTAGTAAAGACATTGCCTTAATATATCTATGTTTTTATTTGACCTATAGGAGAACCAATTTCATATTTTGTTTTGATCACATCAGAAATAAGTTAGACTCGTGTTGCTTAAATCTTCATTTTTGCCAGTCATTTGGAATCTGCCAAATGACTAGATGCACCATCACATAAATTAGCATTTCTGTACTGCATTATTATTATTTTTAAATGGGTTGTGATCTGCTTAATCCCAGCTAACACCCCCCCCCCCCCCAATATTTATTTGCCACTTGCAAATTGACAGTTCTGCAAGGAAATTATTATTCTGGCTACTTAAAGTATTTAGCTAATGCTTCCTAAATATTCTAAAGCTTTGTTTATATAAGAAACGTTTGTCAAAAAGTATTTTGGATGCAGCCTTCATTGTGTCTGCATTTCTGCATTCCATGTCTCTGTTCGTGCTCTGTCACTAAGCAGCAGTTTTCACACATAAACCTTTTATTTGAAAAAAATGTAGAAGACAATCAAACTTTCTACCCACATCCCAACATCAGTCACCAGAGATAAAAATCTAATGTGATAAAGACATGAAACCAATCCTTCCGTATTCTGCTTCATCTGAACTTGGAATTTAATCAAGTGCCAAAAAGAAACATACCTTCGTCTGCTGCAAGGCTTTTTCAACCTGAGTCAAGTCATTTACTGAATTCATGATGGAGTGCACTTTGCTTTCCAACTCATTCACCTCATCCTTAATTTTTTTCAAAGAATCCAAGTAAGTCTTGGGGGGATGACTTTCAAGTTCTGCATTTAAAGTAAGCATTTAAAGTCAAGTTAACAACTTGCTTATACAATTTGAACCAAAAATATCAAATATAAATGCAATATAACCTAGCAGAAATGTTGGTCCACAGTACATACAGACTTTTTCAATTATAGATAATTACTATGTGAAAACAATTTTTTTTTAAAGTTTCTTGTGGCGAATGTATACAAACTGCTTCCTAAAACTTTTGCAAAGCCACTGCAATAACAGGACTCCGATACGTGTTGGTTTACACATATCATCTCAGGCCAACATTCTCCTCCCAATAAGAGTCAAGAGGAGCTCTGATCTGGAAATAATCAGGTTGAAGAAAGCTAATGCACAATGTAGTATTGATTTTTCTTTATAATTCAAAATACAGAGTAGTTATATGACAGCTGGAATCACATTAAGGTTGGAGTCTATCAACAGAAAAGCTGGATTAGAAGCCAAGCAGTTTCATCTGTGGACATAAATCTGACCAATTGAATTTTTGATTCAAAAAACCCTCAACTGTACCATGAATCCCTGCAGAAGAGTGTATTGTAGATCTACATTTTAAAGACTAATTACTTGGATGACTGATGTCAAATAATGGTGGCAGGCAGCCTTGCCAGGGTGTCTCTTCTATGCATTTTCACTATAAATAGCTGTTCTATGATGCGCTGCTGCTCTGTTTAATTCAGTTCTGAATGTCTGCTAATATTGATAGGATTTGATTATGATCCAGAATGGCTTACAGAACTGGTTACTCCCTGTTTTCTGGGGATCTTTGGCAGCTAGCATTGAAAGAAACATCTGCAGTACTGGTCGTTTACATAAATGTTAATCAACTCTCAGAGCTATGTCTGTTTGATCTGTTTGTTTTATCGACCGCAACTGAGCAAATTAGTGGCTGTGTATCCTAAGTAATGAATTCAGATTTAAACTTTTCATATGTTTTTCTTCCTCTTCACTTTTCCTTCAAAATTGTTTTGGGGGGGGGGGAGATGCTTCAATTGTTTATCTTTGCATTTGACAATTTGTCAAGGAGGGTTATGATAAGATGTTTCTCGCTGATTGTATGGAAATCTGAAATATTCAAATTATTAAATTCTAATACGAATGTTCACCTTCTGCTATTTATAAAAATCAATATTCAATTAATAACTCAAATGCAACTGCTACATTATTCTTTTTATCTTCTTGTTTTCCTTTTTTGGTAAATTTTACTTCAATCCAAGCTTCTATTTTCCTAAATGTAAAATATAAAATTTAAATGTAAAATATTTAAAATATATTTTGAAGGTGAGTTTATTTGCTTTTGTTGTTCTACATACCTTAAACAAAACTTGTGCATTCAGCTGACATAAAAACTTAATTAGGGGTGTATTAACTAGACAGCTAGTTTGGTATAATGATTAAGGTTAATATTAGCAACCTATAAGGACAAAAAGGACAACCTATAAGGACAAAAAGGCAGCAAATCCACAAATAAAAATCAAAACAATGGGCAGAATCCATGTTCTCTTCCAAAACAGAAGAAGATTCTGTGAGTGGAACCCTCTTTTCACAAGAAAAAAAAAAGTCTGAATCTGAGCATTAAAAAAAATCTATGGGGAATTGCAAGCATACTTAACCTGCATGAAAGAAAAGCTGTCTCGACCTAAGGCAGCATTGAGCAGTAATAACTTCAAGCGTCTTGACATTTGGGTTTTACTAGAATGTTTTATTGACACTGACATTTTCTGGGTTTATTGCTGAATTTAAGTAATACATTTTATATGTGTGATTTTTGTTTAGTTGCCCAAGGCAGACATTTAGTCTGATAGGGTATACATTAAGCCATCATAACAAATGATGCTCCTTAAGACTTCCTATTCAAGGTCAACAAAAATGAAGACAGTTCTTATGTTTTAGACATACGGGATGTCTTGAAGATTGAATTCTGACATAAGAGAAAGTGCTTAATAGAACACAGAACACAAAAGTAAACCTCGCCACTTTAGACAGTCATCTTTACTCCCACTCTGTCTAAGTCCTTTGAGCACACCAAAGGGACGATCAATACAATCATAAGAAAAAAAGAGCATTATATAGATAAGGACATGTACATGTTTTGACATCACCTAGGAAATTCCATACTCTCTCTTTTCGCCAGCCTTTGGAATGATCTGCTTAATAAATTCATTCATTCTAGAAAAGCCCCAATCTAGATGACGCTGGGAGGACGGTGGCGAAGAACATATTTCTGACATTACAAGAAGAAGGCCAAACAATCTCTTCCCTTTTAAGATTATGCTTGTGGTTATTTACATAGCCTTTGCCAAAACCTAAGATGAAAGCAGCCCCAGTTGCGAGGCTTTTGCTCCTAGCAAAAGCAGAAACCTAAGACGATACAAAGGAGAGGAAGGGAAATTTTATAAAAATCAAAGCACACCTCTCTTCAGTTTCTGCAGAAGAAGTTCTAGTTCCTGCTGGGCAGAACTGAAGTGGCTGTTCAAAGAGCAAAAGCTATCTTCAATAAAGTCTGGAGCAGCAGGGTGAGATGTCAGCTCCTTGCACTTGATCTTCAGGTGTTCCATTTGAGGAGTCAGACTTAAGAGGTTTGTGAGTTCCCCCTTAGAAAGAGTGCCAACATTGGTTATTTTTAACATTAACATTTTTAAAGACTGCAAGAACCTCATTTCTTTAGCAGTTTACAAATATGATTAAAATTACAATATAAAATAATAAAACAGCAACAACTGTTCAGGTAAAAATATCATCCCCATCACTATCATTATCATAATAGTATAATAACAAATGCAAATAAGACCACAGCAAAACAGCCTTCATTAAGTCCAAAATACATCCTGATAATGACTAGAGCAATACTATTTCATTTATTTGTCAATCGCTTACAAGACAACAGGTTTAAGTATAAACATGAGTAAGAATACAGGAAATAGGTACGAATAAATAGGGACAATAGGACAGGGACGGTAGGCATGATGGTGCACTTATGCACGCCCCTTACAGACCTCTTAGGAATGGGGTGAGGTCAATAGTGGATAGTTTGAGGTTAAAGGAGTCGGGGTTAGAGGATGTAACTATTGTCCATCTAAGTGTTAGAAAGACCGTAATACAAACTCCAGATAAACCTCTCTAAGCAGAACATTCCACAGATGAAGAACCACAACGGAAAATGCTTTTCCTCTTAGGTGGTACACCAGAACAGACCTTTTCAAGATCATGTTCAAGTCCAGGCACACAAATATGAGACAACGACTGTACTCTAGCAGTACAGGTCAAACATAAATAACTGCATTTGGTGCACCAAGGTTGTTGAGCTTACCTGGCATGACTCCTGTAGCACTGCTAATGGTTGATCCTCAACTGCAGAATTGTCTTGCAGCCATGCTTCTTTTTCGCTCACAGACTTATCGAGCTTACCCAATTCACTAAAGTAAACATTGATTTCATCCTGATATTGAACTTTTCTTGCTACTTCCTCCAAGTAGTAAGCAGCCCCTTTCCATTCTGCCAAGAGCCTCTTAAGGGCGTTGCCTGTTTCTTCAGTAGGAAGCCCTTCTGAACAAAGATAAGGAATCAATTGGACAAGTTGCAATGCATGAAAGATTTTATTTCAGCTATATTCCAGATATAAATACTAAACAGTGGTGGGACTCATCTCCAGGGGGGATGAGTCTGCCTATCGAGATGAGGTAGACTGGGTGCTTTCGTGGTGTGGAGACAATAACTTGGTCCTCAACACCAATAAGACCAAGGAGCTTACAGTGGACTATAGAAGGAACAGATCAGACATCCAGCCCTTGCTTATCAATGGAGACCGAGTGGAGCAAGTGGCCAGTTTTAAGTTTCTGGGTGTTACCCTAAAAGAGGACCTGACCTGGGGTGCTCACATTGCAGCATTGATCGAAAGGGCCCAGCAGAGATTATACTACCTGAGACTTCTCAGAAAAAAACTAGACAATGTTAATAAAGGCTGTGTGGCTGCCTGAATTTTGCTGGGTCAATGCCATCAAAATATTCCAAATTTCATTGGGAAACTAAATCCTGTTTTCTCCTGCATAGTTTCTGGTTCCTTCCTATTTACATTTTCTGCTTTGAACAACTTGAGAGAAGAACACAGCTTGAGAATGAGAAACTTATCTGAATTCCAGATATTACTAAACTAAAACTCCCAGAATCCCTCACCTCCGACATGATCATGGGATCGCTGGACAAAAACAAAAGTTCAGTTAGTTCCTGCTGTGTTGCCTCTGAGCTGTCGAGGTGTTTGCCACAAAACAGATCACTTTTACCTCTGAAGGTGCCAGCCACTGTTACTGGCAAAACATCAAAACACTAGATAATTAGAACATAGTCTATATAGCCTGGACACCCATCACCATTAAATTATAACTAGCATTGTCACAAATTTCCATTAACATACATCCAGATGGATTCATACTTTCTAAAAATTCCAAATATTAACAAGAGAAAGTAATTGAAAAGACACGCGCTTCTCCCTTCCATTATATCGTAACATTACCTTTTCCCATTAGCAGATTTTCTGCAGTCTGTTTCAATTCATTCAACATTTTCTCTTTTTCCACTCTTTCTTTCTTTATTGCCTATAAATCAAAGCCATAAAACTTAAAGTGAAAACCTAAACATTTAAAAATTCCACTAAGCAAACCCTTAGTGACCCTTTTTTCCACCTCTGCATTTAGTAACTAGTAATTCTAACTTTTCAGTAGAATTAGAACACTAAATAATAAACCAGATGAAGATGCATTTACTGTATATCAAAATACTTTCCGCTTAGGTCATATTTTCATAAAATCACCATACATCACAAGCTGAAAATTAATTAAGTTTTCAAACACTATATTCTCAGATGTTTACATCTTTTTGAGCATCTTATCACACTCTGAAACTCCACTGTCAGCCAATTATCACTTATTAAATAATCTTTTCTTAAACTTAACATTGTGTCTGCAGATTAGCCATTGATTTTTCTGTCTCTCTCTGATGCTACTGTGACACGTAGAGCAAATCAGAGTGACAGAAAACTTAAATGAGTCTTTGTAAAATAATGTGTCAGGATCCTTGTAAACAAGCTATTCTGGTTCATGGGAAAGAATCCATTAAACTTAACAAGTGTCAAATGCTCTGGAAGTACCCTCCAAATATACTGTATATAATTATTACAGCACTATGCGTATCTCTGACAATATTTCACATAGGAGGTATCTCTGTGGTGATATTCTTAATTAGGCCTTTTAAAATTAACTTAAAACAATTATTGTCCACATTTCCATTTTTTTATGTCTTCTCTCCAGAGGGTGGACTAGGAGGTTATTAGGTATCTCTATGAGCTGAAATCATGATTTCACTTTATTTTCTGTTTTATTGAGAGAATTTCTGCAGGGTCCATATTTAAGAATAAGATTTTCTCTAAAAACGTTCTTCCTTCTCCAAAGTAAAAAGGGAATTTAATACAAGGGAGGAAACCGGAAAGAAGCCAGAAATGCCTATTAAACCTCTGAGAATTGCCTGTCATAAGTAAAAGTTATTTGTAGCCAGTGGAGAATAATTATGTTAGCCAAAAATATATTTATAAAAAAGAATTCAATTTAGATGAAACTTTCCGATCAGACTCTACTTCCACCTATTAGCAAAACAATGTACTCACAGAAAATGCCTTCCCATTTTTCTCTTTACCTTCAGTTTTTCCTTCATGACTGAAGTCTCCCTCATCTTCTTGTACTCTTTGATCTCTATGGCCTGAATGGCAGCTTTTGATTTTAAAATCCCATTCAACAACTCGGCAATTTCAACATCAAGCCTAGCATAAGAAGCAGAACAATGTTTGGAATCATTTCTCCTCCCATTCAAAACTCAAATATCTTAAAGCATTTTAATAATATTTTCCCTTCCCCAATCTTCCAGTTAAACCATTAACTAACATTTCCTAGATTGGGGGGGGGGGGAGGAGACATTTTGTCTTGAAGAAAATAATTACATTCTTACTATATTCTCCACTTTACTGTTCCTCATCCTAAAAGTAGTATCTTCAACTTGCTAACTCCTTCAAATATATATGCCTGAGAGTTCCATAATTTCCAAACATAATAATGGGAGAAAACCATATATTCAAACCATGTTCAGCTAAACCACAGGTGTCAAACTTGCCATGTCACGTTGTCATCATGTGACATTTCACAATGGAGCTGGGTAGGCGTGGCCTGCGCATAAGGCATCCGGCCCACGGGCTGCCACTTTGACAGCCCTGAGTTAGACAACTGGCAGGCCAAGAAAGTGAAAGCGCAGAAACTATTGCAAGTTACTTTTATTTCCTGAAAAATGGCAGCAAGAGGATTCTTACAGCTGTAATTGCACCAGCCCTCATCCCCATGACCAAAGAAGATGGCTGTACTTTGAAATTAGGGAGAAGCAATGAGATGAACAACGTCCATTAAAGAGTTAAAGCAGCTTGTCCAGTGCTCCCTCCCCACTGTTAATTCTAAAGCAACTGGCTGCTTTCATCTGTAATCAACACATGCATATGGTAAAAATAACCTGAGGTAGATTCTGGGCTAAGTCTTGATTTTCTTAACACCAATTAGTTGAATTAACTCAGTTAACTCACCACATTAAACCACAAGCCAAGTTAACACACTGGCTTCATGTAACACACTAAACAAAAAGAGGTGTGTCACGAAGGGACTACACCCAACGTGTGAAGGAAAAAATGGATCAGCCTATAAGGGAAAGTAATGGCATTACAAGCAAAGAAAATAGTTTGTCCTATGTTCAGTGAGAAAGGAATGATATTCCCAGACCGAGAAGTCATCTTACTTTTTTCTCATTTCAATATCCAGGCCAGTTTGCCGCCTCCTTGGTAGAGGTGGTGGAGATTGTTCCATTTGGCTATCCTGGGCTGTCTTTTGTTTCTTGACAAGGATTGTTTCAGTGAGAACATTCTGAGAAATCTGGGGCATTCCAACTTTTACAATTGCCTCAGTAACCTAAAGGAACAATGGAGACAGGGGTCAATCTTAATCAAATGAAGCTAAAAAAAATCCAAAAAAAAATCAATGAATGACAACTTTGTTTAAATCACAAATGCAATTAATGGAAGCACAACATTCATATCCAAATGAAGCCCCAACCAAAACAGAAAGAGAAGGTAGTATTTGGATAGTACCTGATTAGAGTAATCCTCAAGTTTCTGAACTAAGTTGTCCCATCTCTGTGTGAGTTCTTCAAGATTACTGTCAATTTTTTTTAATGCCTTCTTGTTGTTCAGGAGCTGTGCCAAATCATGGGCCATCTCATTCAGCTGCTCTAACATCTGGCGCTTCTTTCCCATGTCTTCTTTCAGACTCTGACAGTGAAAACACAATAGCCATGCCATTTTAGAGAAATGTCTTTTGCTCAGATTTCCCACAGGAACAGCAACTTTCTTAGAATGTAAGATGTTTGTAAATTTGTAAATTCTAACAGAATAGGAATTATGGACAGAGAAAGATGAGTTTCCAGAACATTCATATCCATTTCACCCGAGACTATTTATTTTGAATACTTGCAAGAACAGCCTGTTTTCCAATGGGCTTTACCCAAATTCACAACCAACATGCTGAAAATATGGGAACTGAAGCCCAATACGCATAGTCTTGACTTACCAACTGTAATGGGGAGTGGTGATGTGGTGACTCCATTACTAAGCAATGCAATTGTAAAAACCATGATCAAATTTCAATGTCAGTTCCAGTTGTGATAATTAGCCAAATCACCCACAATTGCTAAGCATGATGTCACATGATCATGACTTGTCATTTCCTGCTGGTTTCCCCAATGACTTTACTTGTTGGAAGCGAACTGTGAAGGTTGCAAATGGTGATCATGTGACCTAGGACTCGGCAATCATAGTAAATGCACTGTGCTGCCAAGCACCCAAATCACAACCACCTGAAATAGCCTAAGTTTGAAGAGCAGTTGTAAGACTTTTTTTCAATATTTTTGTAACTTCAAATGACTGCTGATCAAGGCAGTCAATAAGTGAGGATGAGCTATATATCTGGGAAATAGGAGGTTTGGAAAACGTGAGGCTGCAATGTTATTTTGAGTGGTTACAGAAATAATGAGTTCCAGGCCACTATTACCATTCAGAGGTTCCACTGCATTGAACCTTGGAAATATTAGTAGAATTTCCCACATAAGAAGAGATCTTGCCATTTAAAACATTATGGGTAATATCACTACAAAGGCATTCCTTGAGTAAAAACCAAAATTGTTTCAGAGTGTGGGAAAGTTCTTGATCATGATCTATGCCTGCAACAGACACAACATGCCTTAATTCTCATTTTCTCTCCCTCCCTCCCTTCTTTCCTTCCTTCCTTCCTTCTCTCTCTCTCTCCCTCTCCCTCTATGTTATATCTGATAATTAAGGTTTAATTGTTTATTTATTAATTTATTAGATTTACAATACAAAGAAAGTAATACTTACTGCCAGCTTTTGAACATTTGCACCCAGCTCTGTTTGATCTTTAAAGTTGCATGTCTGTATTCTGCTTAAAGCCTCTTCTTTTTCAACCAACCAGGCTTTCAACATACACTGAGAAAAAAAGTACATCCACAAATATACTTAATTAATTCCCCTATATTTTACATATCACCACCACTGCATCATACATAAGCAAGAAGACCCCAGAATCATAACAATAATCAATCTGCCCTTTAAGTTACAATCAGACAAAATTATGGGTTGTTTCAACATAATAGGTATTATGCTACATGCAGCAGCTATGATTGGGTAGGAATGTCTTACAACTCAATTGCTAGATATTCATGAGATAATAGCAATAGCACTTAGAATTATATACAGCTTCAGCGCTTTGCAACCCTCTCTAAGCCCTTCCCAAACTTGTTGGCCACCAGGCCGCATGAATAGCTGACCAGTGTGTTCACATGTGCACACGTGCATGCACACCCCACTTACACGAGCGTCACCGGCAAGTACTGCTCACTCACAGCCCTGTTTGTGTGTACTCGCAGCCCCATTCGCATGCACACGTAAAGGCACCTGCCCCTTCCACTCAAGCTGCCAACCCAGAAAGGTTGGGGAACTCTGCTCTAAATGTTTACAGAGTCAGCATATTGCCCCCAACAATCTGGGTCCTCATTTTACCAACCTTGGAAAGATGGAAAACTGAATCAACCTTGAGCCAGTCAGGATTGAACTCCAGGCAGTGTGAATGAGAATTAGCCTGCAGTACTGCATTCTAATCACTGTGTCACCATAGCATTAAATCCAATCCAAACAAAAATTATGAAAGGATATAATTCAGAGAAAGCAAAATGAAATCCCCCCTCAAATATTAAGTCCCTATTTTCTACTCTGTTTATTCCTACTCAACAACAGAAAAATGAGGTCGGTGTTAAACTCTGGTAAATCTTAATTTTCATGGATGAGATTGAGTAAATGGTAATTTTTCTTAGGTCCTTGGGAGACAAGCAGGATAAAAATGTACACGGGAGGAAAAGGAGAACCTGAAACTATGAAAACACAGATAAAATGGAGTAATAAGAGGTAAGAGGTAAGATTTATTGTGAATCTTAAGACCAGACCTTTCATTTTCTTCTATATAAGCAAATGTTTTGTTCCCCCATTCATTTTTTTGAACCAAGTTATGGCAAGGATCAGTCTTCTTTTCATCCTGATGCTGGTTGTCTCAGCCTTCCCAAACACTATTTTTTTTAAGTTATTAACTGTCATTAACCTTAACGTTATCTTTAAGTTAATTCAATTAATTCTGTTTGATCCTCACATTATTTATAGCAGGAGAGGCAAGATATCTCATACTGCAGTAGCATTATTCACTTCTACTGTAAGGTATAATGTCTAGGTACTTCCTGCTTAATTGAGTTCTTCTGAGGTCATTTTTTGGTACCTAGACATGATTTATACCCAATATTTAGATATATTCTCTACCATATAGACAGCAAGGCTGCTACTTTTTTATTTTGATAGTAAAAAAAAACCAAGCAAAACTTTTAGACACTATAAATGTTATTCAATCATAGATACTTGATGCAATTTTCTGAAATAAAAACTACATTTTTATCAAATCAGGTCCAAACATCCCCCATGATGATTATAGCAATAGCATTTAAAATTATACACAGCTTCATAGTGCTTTACAGCCCTCTTTAAGTGGTTTACAGAATCAGCATATTGTCACCCAGCAATCTGGATCCTCATTTTACCCACCTCAGAAGGATGGAAGGCTGAGTCAACCTTGAACCATTCAAAAGCGAACTCCTTGAGTGAGCAGTGAGTTAGCCTACAGTACTGTATTCTAAACACTACACCACCATAGCTCATTATTTTATGCATTTCAGTACTGTTCAGTTCTTGTGTTTGGACTAGAAACAGGGAAATCTAAATTAAACCCATTCTCAATGATGGAAGTTCACTTAGTGACTTTGGACCAATCACACTTACTACAAGGACTACACAAAATAGTAGTTAAAATGGGAAAAAACTGGAGAAAGTTTGATATGTACAGCTCCTGGAGGAAAGGTAAGATAGAAATCTAATCAACAAATAAATGAATATTAGCCACTAATAATAAAATGGCCACATTTTGAAAAGAAAACATTTTGAGCAGTGGTGGAATTCAATTTTTTTTACTACCGGTTCTGTGGGCGTGGCTTATTTGGTGGGTGTGGCTTGGTGGTCATGTGACTGGATGGGCATGGCTTGGTGGTCATGTGACTGGGTGGGTGTGGCCAACTCAATGTCACTCACATCAAGGGGTGCCTCACCTGGCCCCTCCCCTCCCAGCCATTCCTTGTCATCCAGCCTCAACTTATCTATAGTTCTGTAAAAATGTTGTTCACCTTTTTTGACTTTATTATCTGCATACTATAGATGTACTTTCATGGACCACTGAAAGGAGGAAATGGCTCAAATGCTTTACTCAAGAGTGTGATATAGGCAACAGGCTTTTAAGGGGCTGCCACAAAGAAAGGGGGGGTGTATTTTCCAAAGCACCAAGAGGCAAACAAGAAGCAATGGATGGAAATTGAACAAAGAGAGAAGCAACCTAAAACTAAGGAGAAACTTTCTGACAGTGAGAACAATTAACCAGTGGACCTGCTTGTCCCCAGAAGTTCTGGATGATCAATCACTGGAAATTTTTAAAAGACTGGACAGCCATTTCTCTGAAATGGTATAGGGTTCCCCCAAAAGTCCCTTCTAAGTGTTATTCTGACACCTTTCCCAGGAACTCTACTCAGAGTTTGGCATCCTCAGTTTTCTTGCCTGAGCAGGGGCTTGGACTAGAAGATCTCCAAACTCCCTTTCAACTCTGTTAAACACACATGTATTTATGCTCTGGACTATAGACACTGAACACATGTAAACCCTGAAAAATATGTGGCAGCCCTGGGCAAAAGAAAGGCAGTAGAATCACTCTAGGTGTAGGGACAGTGTAAAATATTAACACATGATAAATAATGGAACAATTAAAAATAATAGCACAGAGTTTTCTCTCTCTCCCTTCCTATTTCTTTTTCTTTCTTTCTCTTTCTTTGTCTCTTTCTGTCTTTCTCTCCCTTCCTTTCTTTTTCTCTCTCTCTCACACACACACCACACACTCTCTCTCTCCCTATTTCTTTTTCTTTCTTTCTTTCTTTCTTTCTTTCTTTCTTTCTTTCTTTCTTTCTTTCTTTCTTTCTTTCTTTCTTTCTTTCTTTCTTTCTCTCCCTTTCTTTCTCTCCCTTCCTCTTTCTTTCTTTCTTTTTTCTTTCTTCTTTCTTTCTTTCTTTCTTTCTTTCTTTCTTTCTTTCTTTCTTTCTTTCTTTCTT